GAACTGGCCCCAAAGAGAAGAGCTTGATCTGAATGTCCACCATTGTTTATATTGCAAATACATACATATATCTGTGAGTCTTCTGATCACCACTCCTCCTTCTGCACAAGGAAGGCTCATGGTCTCGAGGGATGCCCAATGGTACTTCCTTTTGTCCTGATCTCTTCCCCAGAAAAAATCTTCTATAAGAGACTCTATATACTTGATAGTTGTACTCGGGGGGGAAATTGCAGCCATTGTATGAATAGGTATGGACTGCAGAGTATGCTTAATCAAAGTGATTTTTCCTCTAAAGCTGAGAATCCTTGACTACCATCCACAGATCTTTTTGGAAACTTTCTCAACCAATTGAGAATAAAAAATGATCCTTTGTCTACCAATATAAAGAGGGCAGCTTAACTATGTAATTGGACTGTCTTTCTGCGAAAAACCTGTGATCTCCTGGATGATGCTGATGATATCTTGAGGAGTGTTGTTTGGAACCATAAAGTGACTTTTTTCTTTGTTGATAAGCTGATCAGAAGTGTGTTCATATTCCTCCAATGTGTCCATGATGAGTTTCATAGAATGTTTATCTGTAGAAGTAAACACAATCACATCATCCGCAAAACATAAATGGTTGATCTAGGGCCCTTTGGTTTCCATGCTGAAACCTTTATAACTTTGATTCTGTTGTAGAAGGTTAAGCATTCTTGAAAGTACCTCCGCACCTAAAATAAATAGGGCCGGAGAAAGCGGATCACCTTGCTTAAGACCTCTAGTTGAATGAAAAAAACCATATCTGTGTCCATTAATAATGATTGAATACCAATTGTTACTCATGATTCTCCAAATGAGATCAATGAACACCTCCCCAAAACCAAGCCTTCTCAACACCAAACAAGTAAATGACCAAGACACTCTATCATACGCCTTTGTCATATCTAGTTTAATCACAACATTATCCCCCTCTTTGGGCCTCTTAATTCCATGAGTAATTTCTTGTGCAAGCATGATGTTTTCTGTTATGCTTCTCCCCCTTACAAACCCTGATTGATTGTCTGAGATTAAGAGAGGGAGAATGTTTGCAATTCTCATACTTAACAGTTTGGAAATAATCTTGTTGGAGAAGTTGTTGAGACTAATAGGCCTGAGATCAGTGAATTTATTAGGTTGCTCAGTTTTGGGAAGTAAAACTAAACAAGCGTGAGACATAAATTTAGGCATGATGTGACCACAAAAGAAGGACTGCACTGCTGCCAGTAGATCTTCTTTAATGATGTTCCAGCATGCTTGGTAGAACTTGCCCCCTATACCATCTGGACCTGGTGCTGAGTTTGGGTTCATAGCAAACACCACCTGTTTTAGTTCCTCCAGAGTAGGCATTTCCTGCAGCTTCTGATTCTGTTCTGGAGTGACTAAGGTAGGCAAATGTTGGAGATTTCTTTCATCAATTCTGCAGCTCTGACCAGTAAACATTTTCTAAAAGTATTCACAAGCTGCCTGTGCGATCTGATCATCACCCTGTATCCACACATTATCATCAGTGCAGATTTTATGCAGAAACAGCCTTCTTCTTCTTCCCCTCATCAATGCATGGAAATATTTTGTGTTGGCATCCCCTTCCTTAAACCATTGGAGCTGAGTCTTCTGTTTAAGTATAGATTCCTCCAGCTTCAAAAATCTAATATAGTTGGCATTCATCAGATGAAGTTGTTGTCTAAGCTCCTCTGTGTTATTAGTCAGAAGTTCCTCCTCAGCTTTCCTGATTGTCTCCTCATACTCCTTTACTTTAGCATAGATATCCCCATACTCCTTCTTTGACCAATTGCTAAGGGTAGAAGTTAACCTCTTCAATTTCTGATGCAATTGCCACATAGGGTTACCACTGACCTCCCTATCCCAGCATTGTCGAACAGTCTCCATGAAGTTGTCATTGTCTACCCAACAATGCAAGAATTTAAAATATTTGGTATGACTTTCATTTTTCCTAACCACTTCCATCAACAAGGGGGAGTGGTCAGAACCAACAGAGGGAAGGTGTTCAATAGTAGTTAGGGGCATAACCTCTAACCATTTATCATTAACCATGGACCTGTCCAGCCTCTTCCATACTCTAGCCTGTGCAGCCCTTTGATTACACCAAGTGAAGGGAGTTCCTGTATAGCCAATGTCAATCAAGCCACAAGCTTCTATTACACTAATAAACTTAAAGCTCTTGTTCATGTTGTAAGGTCTACCCCCTAACTTTTCCTCTATAGAAGTGATAACATTGAAGTCTCCAATGGTGCACCAAGGGATATCCATGTTAGCATAGTGTATCAATCTGTCCCATAGAGGCCTCCTCATATGATCTTTACATTTGGCATAAATAAAGGATGTCAAGAATCTTTCTGTGAGATCAGCATGCTTGAATTCTCCTGTGATATGTTGATCATTATTCTCATGAATAGTGCCAGTGATTTCATTAGACCAGAACAACCAGATTTTTCCATTGGGATTACTGACTGCATGGTCCATTTGAAATTGAATTCTCACCATGTTAAGTTGAGAGTTGTCTGCAAATGGTTCAAGGATAGCAATCATAGATAACTGATGCAATTTCTTGAGTGTTTGAATTCTCTCCAAAGATCCTTGGGTGTTGATACTCCTAGCATTCCAACAAATTATCTTAATCATTAAAAACCTTTAGATTTGGACCTTGTAATGGGTCTGCTGGCAGTAGCAGAGGTACTGTTGGTGGCCTGATGTTTGATTTGTCTGTGTTGTTTCCTACCTCTTCGAGACAGACCCTGCTGTTCTGCAATTTCCTGGACTTCTTCTGGGCATTCATCATGAAACGTGGAACCAAATGCTTGTATTAGAAGATTACTAGTTTCTTCATCCTCTTCATCATATTCTTCCATGGATTGGTTGTCAGGATCCAGTTCATCTTCAGAGTTCCATGCCCCATAATCATCTTGAATTTGTCTGCCTTCTCTGACTTTGTTTGTAACTTGTTCCTCTGACTCCCTTTTCTTTTTGCTCAACTTTCCTCTAGACTTATTATTGGATTTCTGCTGCCCTGTATCAGTTATTAGATCATTCTCTTTCTGAGCTGCATGCTGACCTGACTTGCTTTGAATTGAGTTCGGGGTAGCAGGGGCTCTAGAGTCATTCCTATGGTCATTATCCACAACCTCATGCAGAACATGAGTCAAATCCCTCCCCCCTTTGGGCACCCCATCCTGCAGATTAGTGTGTATCTCCTGTACCCTCCCTTCCATGCCTCCAACAGCTTCCTCAACAACATTAACAACAACACTATTAAGGGGTGTAGGGGATGGGAGCACATAGTCAATACCTGCATCTACAGTCTCTTCCCTGTTTTGAGTGTTGCCTGACTTTCCTAGAGCATGTTTACTACCTTGTAAGTCGTTCAAAGACTCCGTAATTTGTTTTTTCTGGGTTTTTGGTGAATCAGGCTGATTAACTTTGCTTGATCCTTCCCTAAAATGGTTTTTTTTTACTGTTTTACTGGCAGTATTTTGTATTCCTTCATTTTCTTGATTTTTGCTTTGATCCTGTGATTGCAGATTAATATAAATATTATGATTGCTAACAGTATTTTTACCTGACTTACCTTGCTGCTGCTGTTGTGTGTTGGTAGGTGTCTTTTGCTAAGGTGAGGTCGATCTGTCCTCAGTGTTGTGATTGATCTTGCTGTGTTTTCTCCTTTGTACATTCCATTGTTCTTCCTGTTGAGTGCTAGATTGCCCTGTTTGTTGTTGTTGATTTATGTCTCTAGTCATTTGTCCTGCTTCCCTGTTGCTCTAGTTGTCTTTCTCCTTTCTATTGTCTTTTCCTTGCTCAGTTCTGGTTTTGTTTTTCTTCTCGTTCTCAGCTTCTTTCTTTTTCTTATGTTCCTCATCTCTTTTCTTGATGTTGCAGTCATATTCATAGTGCCCCTGATGTCTGTAATACATGCAGTATTCTGGTACGCCTTCATATTGCACTTGTTGCCATCTTCCAATGTTATAGTCATCTTCATCAATGCCCATCCAAACAGGTGGGGGTCTTGCCTTGGTGAGATCAATTTGGACCTTTACCCTTGCCACACTTCCTCTAGTCTTCTGAGCTGTTGGAGAGTCAAGATATAGCACTTTCCCGATTGGCTTCAAGAGAATAGAGACAAACTCTTTTTTGTAACAATGCCAAGGGAGCTCAGGTAAGGTTACCCAAACAGGGACTGTAGGCGTTTCCTGTTCAGGCCTGAAGGTAGGAGTCCATACTTGGATTCTCATGAGTGGTCCCTCAATAGTCATCTTTTGTTTAGTCCACACAGTGATATAATCCAAGTCATTATCAAGATCAATGTAGACATGCCTTGAGTTGAAATGTGAGATTTTCACACCCCCAGATAATTCAGTTTGAAGAATAAAGTTTTTCCTTATTGACTCGAGTTTGGGCATAGTAGTGCTAAATTTCCCAATTAACGTAAACTTGCAATCAGTAACAAGAGTTTGATGGAAATCATCCCTTTTGAATATCACAGCTGGTAATCCCTGCCTGGTAGTAAACTCATGGGCTTCAAGATTTAAAGAATCCACTTTCTGATTTTGGTTTTGTTTGAGTTTTGCTGCAAAGGTCTGAATCACTGTAAAGGGGGCAGGTTCAGGGATTTGTTCTTTTTTTGACTGGTTCTGAAAGCTTTGGGGATTATTGACAGTTGGTCCAGAAATATTTTGATCCCCGATTTTGTTCCTATTTGGAGGGTGAGATTGCTTCTCAAAGTTGATGGAAATTTTAGGGAACCTATGATTAGTATTATTGCCCTGACCTTTGTTGTATTTTCCATGCTCCTGCTGGTCCTTAGAATTGAAAGTTGTGTCCTGCAATTTCTGCTTCTCTAGATTTCTACTTTGCTCATTTGCATGAATTTGCAAATGAGCATTATTCTTAATACTACCGACATGACTATTGTTGTGTTTAGCGGAATTACCTGATGGTATTACTTGCCATTGCTGCTGATGATTAGTCCCTTAATGTTGTGCGTTGTTGTCCTTTTGCTGTCTTTCCTTATTCTGTCGAATTAACTCAGGGGTGGGCATATTCTGGTTGCCCTGCACTCCAAACGAAAATTTGGATGAAGTATCCCCTTTTGAATGATCGTGTGTGCCTTGGATTTGTGACATGGAATTCTGATTGCCCTGTTCTGCAGCTTTGCTTGGTATTTGTTGATCACTGTCTTTGTTCTTCTCATTCATTCTTCTTTGGCTTCGATTGGAGTCTTTTATCCTTGGATTGTTGTTTATCATCGGTGTAGTCATGTTTCTCCCCTCCAGACCTTCATCTAAACCTGTATCAAATTGAGACATTTCATTATAATATTCAGAGTTTACCTGTACTCCGGCAGCCCCACCGGCATTCGTCTCCGTCACGATTCGCCAGTCCAAATTGCTTGAAATTGCTGTGAGATGTTCGTCTAGATAAGGGGAAGAATCCCCAGTGAACGAATCCTCATTATCCGGCTAAGAACCAATCCGAATTTGAGTGCGCTGTAGTGGCGGCTCAATGGCAATTTTTGAAAAATCTTCAATTTTAGATCACTCAAATGGCAAGTTAGAATCAGTTGAATTTTGAACTGGAACTAGATCCTGTATAGATGGATCCATATCCACCTCCACATTTGCTCGAATAATCTTCGTTTGGCCATGGGAAATAAATTCGCGAGTTCCGTCTAGCTCTCTCTTTGAAATCGCCACACATATCGCCTCATCTTTTCGTAGATTCGAAGAGTTGTAGGTTGAATTAGACGGTGATTCTTCTTGGGTTTTGTAACTGCTGTCCTGGCGCTTCTTTTCCATTAAGTCTGGTGGCCTGAGGGGCCCGTCCAGCGGCTGTGTGGCCATTCCGGTGGAACTAGCCAGAAAATCACCCAGCTGAGAGAGAGTGCGCTAGAGAGATAATTTTTAGAGAAAGAAAAAATTTTGGAAATGGGAAGGCGATGTGTTTAGAGTTTAGAGTTTATGGTTTAGGGTTTAGAGTTTAGGGATTAGGGTTTAGGGTTTAGGGTTTTTTTTTTTTTTTAATATATTCTAATGACCCTTGAGGGGGTCAGGGGCTTAGCAACACCCCCAGGCCTTAGCATAGATAAAGCAGAAAATTACAAAGAGGGGGGCATAAACCTAACCTCCAAACCTATGGTGGTTCAGTAGTCGACCTACCTAAAAGGTTAGTTAAGTCATCCCCGTACAAAAAGGTGAACCAAGAAACTATGCACCTAAGAGAGGACTCCTCTCAATACAAAGAATCTAGGAATCGTAACTAAGGGAGACTCTCCCTTTACACCAACGAAAATATGCTATACCTATTCAAAAGAGCTATGCTTTTAAACCATAGCTAGGTTGAAAGGATTAGAACCCACTCAAGATGGTTCTTTGATCCTTTTGATTTTCCTTCTTCTGAAACTTGCCATCTCTATCATGTCCAATTGATAATATGCTCTTGCTTCTTTTGGTAATTGTTGACTGTTACAATATATTTGTGGACAAGTGATTTTGTGACTTTGCTTTGATAGGGAATCGACCACATAATTGGCTTCCCGAAAGGTGTGTTTGCATCTGAAATTGTGTGTTTGTCTGATGAGTTGTTGGAGCTGCTGTAGTTGTGTGTTAATACTCCATGGAGGTCTGGCTTTCAGCGTGATCCAGTCCACCAGTAGCTGCGAGTCCACCTCTATGAGAACATTCTTGTAGCCTAGTTGAAGTACCCATGTCATGCCAAATATGGCTACTCCTATTTCAGCCTGGTTATTGGTACCTTCCCCCAAAGGCGTAGCAAAAGCTAATAGCATTTCTCCGTTTTTATCCCTTAGGATACCACTTGCTCCAATTCTGCCAGGGTCGCTTAGTGCACTGCCATCCGTGTTGATTTTGACCCATCGAGCTGGAGGTTTTATCCACTTGACAAGAGTCACTTTGGTGTCATGAGTACAACTTACACCCAGTTGAAACAATTCCTTCCAGTTTGAAGGCCATTTGATTTGGGGGAAATTTGTGTGCATTAGTTTGTAGTTGTCCTTGTAGATGGCATATTTGACTCAACTAACATTGGACGATTTGCCTCCATATTTATTAGCACAACGATTCTTCCAAAGGTTCCAACAAATGAATATTGGTGTAGCTTGTAGTAGTAGCTTGTGTGCTGCATTGTTGTACTTAGCTGACCACCACTGCACAATGAGCTGAGGCAGTGAACTGTGATCTGGTATGATTCCAGCAGCAGCAAAACTTTTCCACACGTAGGTAGCAAAGTGTCCATTGTTGAAGATGTGTTCAATGTTGTCCAGCCCTGGCCTGTAACTACAACAAAACAATTTGTAGGCTCATTGCCAAAGCTGATTAGTTTTTCGTTAGTAGGAAGTTTGCCACGTAAAGTTCTCCACAGAAGGAAAGAAGTTTTAAAAGGGATACTCTTATGCCAAATGAATGTATTGAACATCGTCTTGGTCCTCTTCTCCCTGATCTCATTCCATGCAGAAGAGAAACTGAATTCGCCATCACTGTTAAGTTTCCAAATAACTTGGTCTGGGATGTCCTGCTGGATGAAGAGTTCTGCGGATAAGATGTTGGCAAGCTAGCTGCTAGGGGCCTGTTGCAGGAGCATGTTCAGGTTCCATTGTCCCTCGAGCCAAAATTCTGCCACAGTGATCTGATTGAACCTGTTACTGCCAGTGGAATGATAGGCAAGAGGTCCAACACTAAGCCAATTGTCCCACCAGAAAGAACAATTGCCTTAGTTGAACTTCCATTGAACATGTTCTTCAACCTTATGTTTGTTGTGCATCTTGTGTTTCCATGTCAATGACTCTCCTGTATCCCATTTCTTACTAATAGGATTAGACCTTTGACAATACTTGGCCTTCAAAAAATCTCCCCAAAGGGTTTGTTTGGATCTGAAAATCCACCATTATTTATATTGAAAAGCCATGCATAGGGTTTGGGGTTTAGGGGTTTAGGGTTATGGGCTTAGGGTTTACAGGTTAGGGTTTAGGGTTTATAGGTTTAGGGTTTAGGGTCTAGAATTTAGGATTTAGGGTTTTGGGTTAGGGTTTAGGATTTAGGGTTTAGGGTTAATGGTTTTTGGGTTTAGGGTTTAGGGGTTAGGGTTTATGGTTTATGATTTAGGGCTTAGGGTTTAGGGTTTGGGATTTATGGTTTAGGGTTTAGGGTTTTGGGTTTAGGGTTTAGGGTTTGAATCACCTCATTTTCATGGTAGCCTGCAACTACTATACCACAGTTTTGACTTTTACGTAATTCATCGCATCGTTGAACATGATACCTGACACCATTTACAATACAACCAGTATGTGTTCTTCCACGCTCATCAGGTCCCATTGCCAAAGGATATAATTTCTGGATAGGCATTGACTTTTCCTTATTATATAATAGCATAATCTACAATAAAAATTGTGGTCAATTAATAAAGAAATAAGTAATAATTTAAACAGAATAACATGAATATTTATCTTTAAATCACTTACTTTTCTTTTGAACCATAAAGGAAATTGTTCTCGGTGTTTATCATTGATATTCACAATAGCTTGTTTCAATAACTCTTCTCTATGCTCTCTACATGTAATAAATAAATTAATTAAAAATAATTTAAAATATAAAAATATCAACCCAGATAAATAGAAAAAGTACTTACTGAAGAAAAGGTTCTGCTTCTTCGCAATTATTAAACACATACCATCGAGCCATATCAAAATCTTTCTTTGGTATGACATCATATATTCCATCTCTAAATGGTCTAGAATTCTTTGAAAATATGTCTAGAACATGTTCATCTTTGCTGCTAGATCCATCATCATTTCGATGTTCACGATTAAATCTAGTCTCAATATCAGTAAGATACATAGAACAAAATGTCAAACATTCATCAATAATATAGCCTTCTGCAATAGAACCTTCTGGACGTGCCTTGTTTCGTACGTAACGCTTAAGCTTGCACAAGAACCTCTCAATTTTGTACATCCAACGATATTGTACTGGTCCCCCATACATAGCCTCTCGAGGTAAATGCACAGCCAAATGTACCATAACATCAAAAAAAGCTGGCGGAAAGATCATCTCAAGCTTACATAATATAATAATTATATCCCTTTCAAGTTGTTCTAAGTCATCTTTTCTCAATGTCTTACAACATAATCGTTGGAAGAAATGACCTAGCTCAATTAATGCTAAAGAGACATCTTTATTTAGAAATCCACGAAGAGCAATAGGCAACACCCGCTGTAACAAAACATGATAGTCATGGCTTTTGAGTCTAGTTATCTTACCATCATCAACACTTACACACCCTGAGATATTTGAAGCATAACCATCAGGAAATTTAACAGATTTTAAAAATTTCCAAAACTCCTTTTTCTCTTTTTTTGACATAACATAACAAGCAGCTGGCATTGTATAAGTGGAACCATCATGTTGCAACCATAGTTCTTTTCTTATATTCATATCCTTTAGATCTTGTCTTGCTTTATGTGTGTCCTTAGTTTTCCCATCAATATTTAATAATGTCCCTAAAATACTCTCACAAATATTTTTTTCTATGTGCATGACATCTAAATTATGCCGCAACTTCAAGCTCTTCCAGTATGGTAACTCAAATAAAATACTTCTCCTAACCCAATTCAACTCTTCAGGACAACGTTTATTTTTCTTATTATTTGAGTGTTTTCCTACTCTAAAAGTACTTAATAAATCTAATTGATGTAAGACATCATCTCCTGAGAGCTCTTTTGGTTTTGATCTATTTTCTTTCTTACCATCAAATTTCTTGCTTCTTCTCCATGAGTGACTAGGTTCAAGATGCCGACGGTGACCCATGTAACAAATTTTACTTCTTACCTTTTGTGAAGATGCATCTTTATTGCAAGTAGGACATGCCATGTATCCCTTTGTGCTCCATCCAGATAAATTACCTAATTCATAGGAAAAAATCATATATGGTCAGTAGTAGTTTATAACTTATACTATTACATAGAACATGCAAAATAACAAGATTCTCTACAATATCAGATGTATTAAATATCAAAATTGTGTCTTGAAATGCAATCACTTTGAAGTAACATCTACAGAAGTGGAGTCCTCAATCTGATATTAGGCAAGAGGTGCTCAATGTGGAGCAATCCCCTCCATTGAGTGTTAGACAAGAGGTTCCCAAAAGAGGTATCACCCTCAATGAAACATTAGACAGGAGGCGCTTCACCAAAAGCAACACCCTCAGTGGAGCTTATACTCAGTGAACTTCCCTGGAAAGATGTATATTATTCCCACAAACAAAGTGTAGCTTATGCTCAGTGAACTCCCTGGAAAGGTATATATTATTTTTGGTCTAACAAATAACATGGTGCTAACATAATTTGTTATAGACTAAATAATCACTTTGGGAACTTTGAATGGATGATGCAATGGAGTCATATCAATTTTAACTATGATGTGTCACATATCTCAGATCATTCTCCAATGGTGTTAAGTGTTAATAATACAAAGTAAAAATTGGAAAAGTGAAGTTTCTTTGAAATTTTTCAATGTCCAGGACGAATATATATTCTTTCTGGATATTGTACAAGAGAGTTGGAAAGCAAACAAAATTGCAATTCCTTGGTGTCACAATGAAGATTGAGCAAGCACAAGTGGAATTGGATGTTGTCCATCAAGGCTAGAACAAATGAGAAGAGATCACCTAGTGTTTTTATTTCTGTTAGAATTTGAAACTAAGACCTCATGGTGACCCACTTCAATGACCCCTAAGGTAAACTCTTGGGAGCTCTTACAATATTATATAATAGTCTAATACATAAATAATGTAAATTATTTGACAACTAGAAAAAAAGTAAGTAATTTAAGAACTTACCATAAGCTGGAAAATCATTTATGGTCCATAAAATAGCGGCATGCATCTTGAAGCACTTCCCAATTGATGCATCAAATGTCTCTACACCATCATTTCATAACTCCTTCAACTCATCAATCAAAGGACGCAAATAAACATCAATATCCTTTCCTGGTACCAAATGGGTACCAAAGGAGCGAGAATGACAGGCCACATACTATACGATGTGCTCATGTTAACAAATGGGTTAAAACCATCAGTTGCAAGACCAAGTCTAATAATACGAGATTCTTGTGCAAACCACTGATGATTCTTATCAAACTCTTTCCATGCTTCAGAATCTGCTGGATGCCTTAACACGTTTGCCTCATCAAGATGTTTTTCTTTATGCCACCTCATGTCCACACTTGTTTTACTAGACATAAATAACCTCTGAAGCCTCGGCTTTAACGGAAAATATCGCAAGACTTTATGAGGAATCTTTTTTCCTTTCCATTATCAATTTTCCACCTCGAAGTAGCACAATGTGGACACTCTTGTCTATCCTTGTGTTCAGCCCAGTACAACATACAATCATTTTTGCAAGCATGAATCGAAATGTATCCTAATCCCAAATCTTACAACATGTTTTTAGCCTCATAATATGACTTAGGAAGTGTCTCACCAGTAGGAAATGCATCTTTTAATAACTCTAGCAACATATCAAATGATTTATTACTCCATTGATTGTACACTTTCAAATGTAGCAATTTCACAAGAAATGAAAGCTTTGAGAATTTCTTACATCCTGGATATAATTCACGTTCAGCTTCTTCCAGTAATTTGTCAAAATTTTTAGCTTCCTTCTAACTCATATTACAGCACACATTATTATCAGTTTTTGTCTCATCCGAAAAATTTGCAAACGATCTTCCACTAACCTCTTCTAACATAGTCTGAATTTCATCATCATTGTCATGTTCTTCATTTTCATCTTCATTGTAAATAACTTCATTGTCATATCTCATTTGTGATTGTTCTCCATGGTATATCCATTGCATGTAACTTTCCATTATTCCCTTGATCAATAGGTGGTCATACACTATTTCTTGTGTTTGAAAAAACACATTTAAACAATCTTGACATGGACATCGAACTTTAGAATTTCGATCAAAGTAAGACCGAACAAGTTGCATAAAAGATTGGACACCCTCAACATATCTTTTAGAGAACTTAGGTTCATGAATCCAGCCTCTATCCATGATCAACTGCATAAACATAACACTTATCAAATAAATATTATAGAAGAAGCACATGCAAGATTCTGTCAAATAAAATAATTATAAAAATAGATCTTTAAATGAGAAAAGTCTGAGGAGTGAAGTGGGAGATCCAGATTATTACTACCAATCAATTGGTTTAGTGACCACATTATAAAGAATTAGTTATTCTGACTATGGAAAAGATGATGGTTATTACACTACTGTATGGAAGCTTTTCATCATGCAAGAATATATTGTAGGAGTGACTGTAGAGGGCGCGCATATTGCACTTAATGAGATTGTTATTAGTATTGTTGTTAGCATTCAAGGAGTAGAAAGTAAAGAAATAAAGTTATACTACTATGGTGATAATTCAACATTAGTCTATACTTTTCAACACTTAAAGAGAGGTAGGGAGCCATATAAATTTGCAATAACCATTGTTCTTGGAAATTTTCTTTCTGTTCAAGTTCCCAAAAAATACTTTCATCTAGTTTCCAGAAATCGAGATTTTATTCTTAGAGGTGACATCGTTGTCCATTCTGCAACAAATTATATGGGTGGTTTAAATGATGTTTTTGCCGGTTACACTGGTTGTCTTATATTTGTTTTTGGTGATTGCACTTCTATGGTCATCCCTTAGCAATGTAGAGCTACTAAGGAACAAGTTTTTTTCTCCGTGGCAACCTATGGAGGTTTTATTGGACACACTTAAATTTAATATTTGTGGTCCTGCAACTCCTATTAGATCACAAAACTATAGTGATTTCGGTCTTTCTAATATCTCAGATTGAGTTTCGCGCTGACTCACTCCATCCTGCCCCTCTGCCTCGCCTTGACTCGCCCAATCCTACCCCTATTTGCCTTGCCATGCCCCCACCTCCTCTTGCCTCTCCCTGCCCCTGTCTTACCCTATTTTAATTCATACTTATGAAAAATCAATTCGTAAATCAGAACTCAATATTCTGATTCTTAGAATCAAACATAGAGGAAAAGACCAACAAAGTATGAGGAGAGAATTAAATTGAAGTAAAAGAAAGACTTACCAGAAAGGTCCGATGGCCACGAATGCTAGAAGACAAAGAGCAAAAGCTGAGTATCCAACAATGGTTGTAGTGACGATTTTGATTTTGACAGGAACAAAGGAGAAGAGGCAACAGACTCCTGGGAAACAAATCCTTAATTAAATAAAACCCTCTTCCTATTTATTCCTATTTTAAGTCCTTAATACTACCAAATCAATACATAATCTCCACGTAGGCAATGGTGAAAATTATTATGTCTTGTACAACATTACCCTTTTTTTATACCATCATGAAGAAATATCACTTTTGTCATGTTTTATTGTACCCCTCATTTGTGTATTTCTTACATACTTTCTCACATGTGTATTTGGTAAATATTACAAAGTTTGAGCATAATTTCAATTGTACAAAAACAATAGAATTGATATACTTCTAGCGTGTGGGCCCCAATTACAGGCTTTTGAAATTTCAATTTCCTTTCTGTGTTCATTCAGATATCTGATTTCTGTTAGGTAATACGGTAGTATTACTCCATTTCCATTTTATTGGTGTATATTGCGTTAGTAAATATTCTCCTTAAAATGATATTTGTTAATTTGATTTTTGAATTTAGTTATTTAAAATTAAAAATATATCAATTATATTAAAATATTTTAATTTTGTGACCTTAAATATATTATGTAAAAATTTATATTAAAAAGTTGCTATAAAAAGAAAATGTCAATCCTTTTAAAGAAGATTAAAAAGAAAAACACGTCAAATATATTGAAATAAAATAAGTGATATTTAATTTATTAATTTTATTTTAAAATTTTAAATTTAATAACTAATATTTTATATAGCTTTCTAGCAATAAAGATAATATTGAAAAAATAATTTACTTTATGTAGATAATTGATTTTTTACGTGACCACAAAATAGGTGTGATTTAATTTGAGATATAACTATAATAGTGAAAATAGATTTATCATTTTTTAGGTGTAAATGCATTTCTTATATGGTGAGTACTTATGACTCTTTAAATGTCAACCCTTTGTATTATTGTGCAAAATTTTACTATTTTCTCTGTTTCAATTTGTGTAACACATTTCATTTTTCGAGAGTCAAAACAATTTAAGTTTGATAGATAATTTATTCATGGAATCTTCAAATAATTTAAAATGAAATTTTATATATTCGTAAACACCTTAAAAAGTATTACGAGACACAATAATTGACAATTCAAAATATTTAAAAGACATGAAAAATTTACATTCAAAGATAGACTTGTTTGAATTTCGAAAACTGAAATGTGTCGGAAAAATTGAAATAGAGGAAATATATTTTATGGAACAATTAACTATATAATGATTATGGATATGAAGAGGATACATGCAAGAAAAATACTCATTTTGTTCTTTTTTATGTCATCCTATTTTTAAATAATTGGTTCATAATAATTGTCATTTCATAAAATAAATGCATAAATTACAAAATTCTTCTTATAAGTAGAGGAAGGAGAGAACTTTTTTTCTATTCAGGTGTATCTTACAATGGTAAATGAGAAATTAATCCAAAGGTTACCATGTTGAATCCAAAAAGGTTCATATCACCTAGAGAATACACATACATGAAAGTAAGTATAAGTTCATAGGTTTTTTGTTTTATGGTTTAGGGTTTAGGGTTTAGGGTTTAGGGTTTAAGGAATAGGGATTTGGGCTTAGGTTCTAGGGTTTAGGGTTTGGGGTTATAGGATTTAGGGTTTAGAGTTAAGGGTTTAGAATTTAGGGTGTATGATTTAGGGTTACGGTTTAGGGTTTAGGGTTTAAGGTTTCAGGTTTAGGATTTTAAATATAGGGTTTAGGATTTAATGTTTAGGGTTATGGTTTATAGTTTAGGTTTTGAGTTTAGGGTTTAGGGTTTAGATTTAGGGTGTAGGATTAATGGTTTACGTCTACGGTTTAGGATTTATGGATTAGGTTTTAGGGTTTAGGGTTTAGGGCTTAGGGTTATGGTTTAGGGTTTATAGTGTAGGAATTAAGGTTTAGGGTTTATCATTTAGGGTTTAAAGTTTAGGGTTAGGATTTACAGTTTAGAGTTGAGGACTTAGGATTTAGGTTTAAGTTCTATGGTTTAGGGTTAAGGATTTAGAAGTTAGGGTTTAGGGTTTATCTTTTAGTGTTTAGGTTTTAGGGTTAGGGTTTAAGGATTATAATTTAGGGTTTAGGGTTTAGATTTAAGGGTTAGAGTTAAGGGTTTAGATTTTAGGATTTAGGGGTTCGGGTTTAGTGATTCGGGTTTAGGGTTTAGGATATACAGTTTAGGGTTTAGGGTTTAGCGCTACAGATTAGGGTTTAGAGTTTATGATTCATGGTTTAGGATTTACGTATTAGGGTTTAGAATTTAGGTTTTAGGTTTTAGGGATTAGGGTTTAGGGAGTAGGGTTTAGAGTTTGGATTTAATGTTTAGGATATAGGGTTTACGATTTGGGGATTAGGGTTTTGGTTTAGGACTTAGGGATTAGGGTTTTGGTTTGGGTTTGGGGGTTCGGGGTTTTGGGTTTAGGGTTTAGGGTTTAAGGTTTAGGGTTTAAGGTTTAGGGTTTAGGGTTTAGGGTTTAAGGTCTAGGGTTTAGATTTTAGGGTTAGGATTTATAATTTAGAGTTGAGGATTTAGGGTTTAGGTTTAGGTTCTATGGTTTAGGGTTAGGGGTTATAGGTTTAAGGTTTAGGGTTAAGGGTTTAGGAGTTAGGGTTTAGGGTTTAGGGTTATTTTAAAATTTTATTTTAATGACCCTTGGGTGGGTCAGGGGCTTAGCAACGCCCCCAGGCCTTAACATAAATAAAACAAAATAAGTACAAGGAGGGGGACATAAAACCTTACCTCCGGTCCTATGTTGGTTCAAGGGTCGAATTTCCTACTAAGGA